AAAAAAAAGAGTACTCAGAAGTGGTTTACCATTCTCTTCTTCTGGGGGCATCCTGGGACTGTGCAGCTTGCCCAAGGCCTCCCAGGCTGGATCTTCTAGGATGCCCAATGGGGTATCAAGCTCCCAACCTCTGATTTAGCCACCAGATATCTAACTCACTGAGCTATCCAGCCAGTTAATAAAATGAAGTTGTTTTGAAATATATAAATTTATAATTTCCTGTTAGATGTCTCTCCCTATAAGATTTGTTTCAAAAATTGTACAGATTTCAAACTGAAATATTAGTTATACACTTACACCGCGATTTATAAATAAACACATCAAATGTATGTACAGTATTCTCAAAGGCCTTCACAGCTGGGATCCAATGGTGGTTGTAGGTTTTTCAGGCTCTTTGGATGTGTTCTTGAGATTTTTCTTTCTAACGTTTCTCCAGTCTCTGTGACCGGCACCTTCAGAGGAGAGGAGTTAGAACTCTGTGTTCTCCTGTAGTGTGAGTATTTGTACAACTACAAATACTCTGCTAATCATCTACTGATTGTGTAAATACAAAACTTTTGAAATATTTTTTTCAGTTCATATATTTTAGCCAAAACGAAACTGCAAGCATTTAAAAAAATTGTTCTCCTGTCACAAAATAATTCAATTATTTAATTCAGCTATAAAATGAGACTTGACAAACAGGAAGTACTGTGTGTAGGTGAGCCTACTGGCATACGTAGTCTAGAATCTAAGCTATGAAAAGTAAGACATAAGTTCTATACAAACATAATGCAATCGTTTAATTCAAATGAAGCCAATAAGTAAATATTTAAAGATGGAGGTGTTCATGTTCTTCATTCATTTACCATTGTAGAACTTTCAGGTATAGAATTAGGGCTATTTTATTATCTTTTTTCTCAGGGCTGCCTGTCACACTACTTTTCCAGATTAAGCAGTCAGGTGAATTTGTTTTTGACAGACATGGAAAAAAAAGAAGAACAGAAAAAGAAGTGTTACAACTCAGTCTGTGACGGAACACTGGGAATGTTTTAGATGTCTGGAGTGTTTTATCCTATCCCTCCCCACCAAAAAAAAGGAAAAAGGTGAGAAAAAGGAAACAATATAGAGATTAACACAGTGTGAAGAAAGACTATAGTAGGAGCAACAAGTATAACAGAAATAATTGCATATTAGTGTCTAACACAACAAGGAAACAAGTTTCTGAATTTAGCTATTATTTAGGAAATTTTGTAGGCTATACAGCAGTTCCTCTGCAAGATACTTCTCATTAAATATATCTGCTACAACAGATTCACAAACAGAAATTCTGTTTGGAGGTACATCTCTCTTTGTGGATGAGGGAAAAGACTTTTTCAGGAATCTATGTCAGACTCAGTGCCTCATCCAATGTACAGAGAAGTTCTACTGCAGGTATTACAAATTACATTTATTTGGATACGGTGCTGCACCTCCCCCCCCCCCCTGCTGCAGGTATTACAAATTAAATGTATTTGGATACGCTGCTGCACCTCCCCCCCCCCCCCAAATAAACATTAGGTGTCTGGCTGCAGAGCCAGAGGTTGGAAGTTTGATTTCCTACTGTGCCTGCTCCGAGTAGAGCCAGCCTGTGTGGCCTTGGGCAAGCTGCACAGTCCCAGAATGCTGCCAGAAGAAGGGAATGGTAAACCACTTCTAAATATCCTCTACGTGGAAAACCCTGAAAATGACTGCCGTAAATCAGAACTGACTAGATGACACACAGTTATTATTATTACAGATAATGTAAAATGATTAACATAAAGAAATCACAAAATGAAAGCTTATCTTCATACCACATCCCTTTCTACTTCTTAATTGTTTTCCTTGGAATAATTTGGAGGGAAAGAATAATAAGAAAACATGTAAATGCAAGGATAGAATAGCATGTAAATTTGTAATTAAAAATAACTGCAATTGCAAGAGTCTTTTAAACAGGAATAAGTTTTGATGTATTTTGACTTCTACTTCTCTTGGAAGAAATTCCACCCTAACATTGCAGGCAAAAAAGGGTACATGATTTATTGAGGCTTGTTGAAACATCTTAACACTTCTTTCATGAAAAGAACAATTTATTCAGTGAATGACTAATTGCCTTGAAGAGGAGTAACTGAAGAAAAAAAAATCTTCACCATTCATTGAATAAACTTGGAAAAGTGGTTTTAAGTAGAATATCAATAGATATGGTAAGCTATAGGTTGAAGCCATTCAAAAAAGAGAAAATAAGTACTGTACCGTATACTAAAGCAAATGACAAGGATGTCCCTAGGAAGCACTGTCTGCTGGGAATGATCCATAGAAAATAATGAGAATTGAGAGTGGCTATGGAGCTGCTGTTGTTTGCAGTGGGGCATCCTTGCCATTCGTTTTAACCCAGGACAAGGGTAGTGGGTCGGCAAGAGAGGTACCTATTTCAATTGTCTTCACACCCCTTCTCTCTTTACAGGCAGTGATCACTGAGGCCCTCCCAGCTGAGCATCTGAATTACAGCCAACGTGATGGTAAAAGAAGAAACGGAACCTGCAAGCGGCGAAACGCCCATGACTTGAATGACTTTTGGGCAAAGAGAGATCGACTGAGAAAGCCGCGTTCCTCGACCGACTTGACTGGGCATCCCTGCGCGTCCTCTCCGCGCGCACACGCGTCCAGCCGGCTTCACACACGCTCCGTAGTGCCCCGTGGCTCCCTCCCAGGATGCCGCATCCTTTCAAACCAAAGCTGAACTATTCAGCTGGGTGTCTGCCACAAACTTCGCCGGTTTGCGACCCTTCGGCAACAGATAGGTTTCCTACACATTTTTCTCCTTAACGCCCGCGCATCGACCGAATTTGAGCCGGCGGAAGCCCTTCCCCGCCTGCCTTCAGCCCCTAACCAGACACGCCAGTGTGCGTTCACATGCTCTGCTGCCCTTTCATGCCGCCCAAGAACGGCCGCAGGGATTTTCCCTGCCCGGGGAACCTCATCTACCACTAAAACACAGCTTTCCCCATCTGCAGACATTAAAACAACTAAATTTAGGATGGGGGGGCCGGGGAAAATGTCCTCCCTTCCTCTCCCTCCTCCCCCACTTCGCGGACACCCGTGGCTCCAGCTCGTCTGGTGGTTCAAAAAATTGACCATTGGCTTTAGGAGAGCATCGGCCCAGCAGCGTCCGTCCCCATCACCTTTCTCGGCCGTCCGCAGGCGAGGGGACGAACAAGCCTTCACAGACCAGCGGCGTCCAGAGAAGGCGTCTTCTGCGTCGCTCTTTTGCGCTGTCCGGGCAAGAAAAGGGAGGTCCTAGCCGACCGGCCCTCTTGGGCTGCCTTGGAAGCTTTTGTTTTGCCTTGGGCACCTGAGGCGGGTCTCTGGCGACGCCTCCCCGAGGCGCTGCTGAGGAAGAAAAAAAAAGGCGGGAAGAACCGGCGCTACTCACGTCCCTTTCCTTTCCAACGGAGTTCTTTCGGCTTTTCTCTCACAGTTAATGGGAAAGGCTGAGAGTCGAGACGCTGAGCTACGGTAGCTCTCGCAGGAGGAGCCCTTCACGAGTTTCTTTGAATTAGGAGTAATTCCTACGTGAACGACCGTGGCGAAATGGCGTGGAGTTGAGTGACACGGATACTTGGCATAGTTGCCGCTTTTGGCTCCTATAATAAGTGGAAATTCGGTAAAAAATTTAACTGAATGTGGTTCATGAACGGGTCAAGGGGAGGCGCCTTTCCCCTTGACCCAAGCCTGCAAACTGATGAATTTCTGTGGTATAACAAACATCTTGTTTCCACTAGTGTCAGACTCTAAAGAGGAGAACAGTGCTTTTACCTTCATGCTTTCTGAAGGACAGGGAAGATCCTTCGCTCAAACTCCAACTGAGCAACGAAACTCCTTGGTTGATCGTGGGTCATCCACTACCTCTCAGGGGTTGCTGACAGAATAAAAGGGAAGGAATAATTAGATCCAAATGATCAAAGGAGTAATCAAGACAAGTGCTTTGGGGCCTCTCAGTTGCTGGGGATCCAGGGTTGCTACCACACAGCAGTAACTGAGCTGGTTTTGAATCTGTTGGTCTGAAGAGGAGATTATATGCGATCAAGTTGCTTCTGATTTATGAGAATGCATCAGGAAAAGAGGAAGACCAACTCCCTAAAGGAAACAACAGGCTTGAATTTGTAGGAGCTCAGTGTGAGTGTTTGGTTTTAGGCTCCTCTTTCTGTTCCAAAAAAATCAGTAGACTTTTGTTGCTTCAAAACAGGTGAAAGATTTATTGGTGCATTTAACAGTAAACAAGTGTCTGTGGCGTAATTATGAGTCTTAACTCCTGCCAACTGGTCCGAAAGGGGTCTCCAATCTTCAAGCAGGAACGGGTTGCCATAACTATTGTTCCAGGGATCCTGGTAGATCAGCAGGAACCCAGTCTTTCACGGTCTGCCCCATCGTATAATTATGAATCTTAGCTCCTTCTGCCAACTGGTCCGAAGGGGGTCTCCAATTTTCAAGCAGGAACCAGTTGCCATAACTATTGTTCCATGATCCCGGTAGATCAGCAGCAACCCAGTCTTTCACGGTCTGCCCCATCGTCTCTCGGAGTCTTGATCCTCCCAGGGTCCTCCCTGTAATTCTTCTTCCTCATACAGTATCTCTTTATGAATCTTAGCTCCTTCTGCCAACTGGTCCGAAGGGGGTCTCCAATTTTCAAGCAGGAACCAGTTGCCATAACTATTGTTCCATGATCCCGGTAGATCAGCAGCAACCCAGTCTTTCACGGTCTGCCCCATCGTCTCTCGGAGTCTTGATCCTCCCAGGGTCCTCCCTGTAATTCTTCTTCCTCATACAGTATCTCTTATTCTCCATTCTAGCCTCTCTTTCTCCCTTTTCTCTCTACTCTTTCCTTCTCTTCTCTCAATCTCCGACTCCACTCTCTCGCCTCGGCTTCTCCCCCATAAGTAGGTCTGGAGGTGATCTCCCTTCTTCTTCTATAATCCATCCCCTCTTTAGGCACTCTCAGCCTCTCCCATAATCCTATCCAAGGATCTTCCATCCACACCCATTCCCAGCCTGGGGGCAACTGACTTTCCTTCCAGTTTACCTCCCGTGTTCCTGCCTCAAACTCCACCCTTCTCTTCCTTTCTTTTCCTGTCTTTTCTTCCTGGATCTCTCTCATTGTCAGGGCAACTGCCTTTCCTTCCGTTTTACCTCCCGTGTTCCTGCCTCAAACTCCACCCTTCTCTTCCTTTCTTTTCCTGTCTTTTCTTCCTGGATCTCTCTCATTGTCACACCCTGCAAGTTCTCAGTCAACTCCTCTATTTCTCTCCCTTGCTGAGCTTCTACCACAGGTTTTGGTGCTGGCTGGGGTCTCTCCTCCTTATTCTTGTTGTGGGGGAGGGACGGCTCTCCAGAGAGTGGGGCATCCCTCTCGCCTTCTTTCTCACACTCAGCAGAGGTGTTTAGGACAGAACATTCTGGAGATCACTCATTCATTATTATTGTTGTTTAGTCATTAAGTTGTGTCCAACTCCTCGTGACCCCATTGACCAGAGCACGCCAGGCCCTCCTGTCTTCCACTGCCTCCCAGAGTCTGGTCAAATTCATGTTGGTAGTTTCGATGACGCTGTCCAACCATCTCGTCCCCTTTCTCCTCTTGCCTTCACATTTTCCCAACCTCAGGGTCTTTTCCACTCATTCATAGAGTCCCATAAATTGGGGATGACTTGACAGAACATAACAACATCAAAAATTAACCAATGGCCTCTAAAAAATCCTATAATCCTTAACAGTCCTGCTCTGATCTTGAACGCTCAAGGCCACCTTCCTATGCTGAGTCAATCCATATTAAGTAGGTCCTCCTCTTCTCCATCTCATGTATGCCTTCTACTACTGCTGCTGTCCAGTAGTTGCTTTTAAGGATTTTCCAGCCATGTCACCACTGGAAATACCAATTCTGTTAATATTGCCATTAATTCTTGGAGATAGTAGATAAATCTTAAACTGGTGTTTCAGCTTTGATTTTTCCTCCTTGGATGACCTGGCTAGGAGTCCAGACTCACAATGGAATCTAACCTCTTGATGGAGATGCTTTCATTTTCCCTGACACACTCAGACCTCCTCCTGTGTTAAGGTGTGCATCCAAGAGGGAGCATTCAGATTGAAGGGATAAAAATAAAAGGGAAGGAATGTGGTCATATATAAGGATTGCTATGTTGTGTCTATTGTACTTAATCTCACTTTTAATTTTTTAATTTTTTGTTTACTTATTTTACCCACTACTAGAATAGGTTGCATGTGTGGATGTACTGGCATCTAATGGTTGTTGTGAGTTTTTCGGGCTCTTTGGCCATGTTCTGAAGGTTGTTCCTAACGTTTCGCCAGTCTCTGTGGCCGGCATCTTCAGAGGACAACACCACCTCTGAAGATGCCGGCCACAGAGACTGGCGAAACGTTAGGAACAACCTTCAGAACATGGCCAAAGAGCCCGAAAAACCCAAAACAACCATTAGATTCTGGCCATGAAAGCCTTCACGAATACAATGTACTGGCATCTGTTTTTGGAACTGCTCCAGGACCCAAACCACCTTAATTCACCCTTGTGCACCACACTGAAGTCCCTGTGAAGGTAAAATCAGAATTACAGAAACACGCTAGATTATAATGATAGCATATGTTTCGGCAGCACAGACTGCATGAGAAGATTACCATACTTGCTTTGGAGAAGCTCATTCACAAAAATATCTAGAAACAACCATGCAAATGTTATCCTTTCTACTTTCTGCTATGATTGCTCTAATATGGAGCCGGGCAGACTTCAGGCTTGGAGAATCTCCTCGTACAACAACAAAACGCTGAGATATATGGACCATGAAGTACAAAAGATTGATATTTAGATTTAATTAATTCTGGTCCCAGGGAGTTGTTCTGAGTATTAGAATTGATCGGTACTCTTAGCCCTTCTGTACAAAAACTACTCCCGGTCACTATAGACTTGCTTCATTTCGCCAATATAATTTAGAGGGGTAAAATTTTTGTTGCTTCTGTTGTTACTCAGTTGAGTGTTAAAAATTCATAGCTGATCTAGCACAAATCACTCAAACATAGTCCACCTGATACACATTTACCTTGTTTCCACTCCTAGTCAGAGAAACCTCACTTGCTTCTTGATGCATTCAAATCCCAGAGTTGACTTAGCTGTTTGCCATTGCATTGCAGTTGCTTCAGGTAACAAATTTTCAGTATAATTAAAAGGCAGCAAATTTTCAGTTAGTTGCATAAAATAGCTGCATAAAATAAATGTTTGTCTCTTATGAGAGGTTTTTAAAGTGGGACACTCTTAAGAGGTTTGGAGAGTGGAGTATTAACTGGCTTGCTTCTGTTCCCAAAATAGGCAAGTCTCCTAAACAAACTGAAACAAAAACAGGGTGGAAGCTGGTGAGTTAAGATGGGCACCGTTCTAGCAGTGGAAAGACCTGAATTTAGTAAGCTAAGAAGCACCAGGTATGTTTTTATGCATAAATTTTGTTTTAAATATATGTTCCTTATAAATGCAAGAGCTGTAATGTACAGTTGATTTATTTATTCTGCATTAATGTTCATAGATGGCATAAATAATGTCGATGATGGGAGGAAACTTATGATTCAAACTTTAGACTTGCACGATCAAGCCTCGTGGCACAGTGGTTAAAACGCTGTACTGCAGCTAAAACTGTGCTCATGACCTGGGGTTCAAATCCCAGGTAGCCGGCTCAAGGTTGACTCAGCCTTCCATCCTTCCGAGGTCGGTAAAATGAGTACCCAGCTTGCTGATGTTTTTATAATTTTGTTTTAAATATATGTTCCTTATAAATGCAAGAGCTGTAATGTACAGTTGATTTATTTATTCTGCATTAATGTTCATAGATGGCATAAATAATGTCGATGATGGGAGGAAACCTATGATTCAGACTTTAGACTTGCACGATCAACCCTGCCCCCCCCAGATCCCAAGATCCTAACATTGGTTGGTGATATCCAAAACAACTGCAAAAAGCCACCCCCCAGATCCCCAGATCCTAACATTGGTCGGTGATATCCAAAACAACTGCAAAAAGCCAGATTGTGAACAGAGCAAATTCTTTTCTGTACTCTATGAGGTATACTTTAATATAGTTTCTCCCACCCCTGCTGTTTCCTGGTGTTCTAGACTACAACTCCTGTTGACCAGCCAGTTATCA